TGCTTGGTGGACTGGATGAGGGTCTGGGGTTGGCACAAAGGTTCCCAGCCGTAATGAGCTTGGACGGCCTTGACAAGATGTGCGCATACCCATTGTGCTTGAAGGGGTGCAGCGACCTGGCCGATGAGGACAAGCCCAGCTCTGGCGTCCCCAGGGAACTTGTAGTTCACTGGGATGGTGCATAGCAGGGCCGCCTCAGAGGTATGGAGGTATCGGGGCTTGCCGGTGACTTGGGAGATGATGTAACATCCCCTGATGCCCCCACGCTGTAGTCGCTGTAGGTTGAAAGGAGCTTGTCGACAACCACAAGGGCATTGGCGCAACACACTGCCATAGGAATGGAGCAGCGTGGGGCATGTTCCAGATTGTTGTAGTAGGCGAGGTTCCTGGCCATAGTTGCTGTCCGTGTAGAACGTGAGCTCGACCTCGTCCAGTTGGAGTTGATTCTCAGCCACGGTGTCCCAAAGCGGCCAGTCAGGAATGACGTGCTGGATGGTACTGAAGTGGAGGGCACGAAGTCGGTGAGGTCAAGTTCCTTTGGAGCAAGGATTGCCCACCATCTAACCCGATTGCATGGCCACTGGTCCTGCAGCGACAGCACGATGGTTTTCAACTGAAATCCCATCAAAGTGGCAAGCTCGATGAGGTGCTCATTGATGAACCCATGGTTCTGGACTCCCGGGACACACTCCAGAATCACCGCAGAGGCTTGCGTCAACCAGGCTGCTTGAAGTGTGGCCAGAAAGACCTTAGATCTGGGGTCGTGCTTGCCGCGATTGTCACCTTGAGAGCTGTATGGTTGGCAGGGAAATCCTGCTCCAAGTACAGTTCGTCTGTGATCACTGGTTCCATGTAGGCGAGCGATGTCCTGAGGATTGCACAAGTCGCCGTGTATGACGTTGTTGGCGCCATTCTTGATGAGGGCCTCACAGGCCAATGCACAGTGGTCCAAGTAGGCGACTGGGCGGATGCCAGTCTTAGCGGCGCCTAGTCGCAGGCCACCCATGCCGGAGCACACCTCCTTGATGTGCTGGTAGTTCACAATGCTGATGGGGTTGTGGGCATACCAAGTGGATTGATCTTGGGGCAGCACGAACGTGGAGCCATCTGAAGACTGGCAAGCCACGAAGCTGTAGACGGTGACGAGCTGCTCCCGCGAGAAGAAGTCGGGGATCCACACTTTCATGCCGATGGACACCTCCTCCGCGGAGATGTACGTGCCCATGCGCACTCCACCAATGCGAGGCACTCCGGTGAAGTCGCCCTCGCGAGAGGCGAGGTCGGCGATCCAGCAAGGCGCAATCATGGCGGGCCAGCTCCCGAGCGTCAGTTGATGGCTAGTCCACCACTGGAAGCCCATTAGTTCAAAAAGTTAAAGTCCTAACATCCAAGCAAAATGCACCTCTGAAATGAACACAGTCACAAAGGGTACCTCTTCAGGGCTGAAGTGGGATGCATGGCCATCCTGGTACAGTCAGGGCTCTTCAGAACTCCTTCCTGCTGCAACAGCGCCGAGTGGCCTCAGGCCGAAGCCGTGCGCGTTTTCCAACATGCGGGGCAGGCCCTGACTTCCAAGCCTTTCCCACGTGCTCCGAATTGCCGAGCCATAGGAACCAAGGAGAGTGATCTGATTCCATCTCTACTCTTGGCATGGGCTTGCGAAAAACTGACTGTTTTTTGCAGACCCCCAGTAAAAATGAACAGAAACCAAAAAACTGAAAAACAAAACATGCCAAGAACAGTGATCTGATGAATGGAATTCAAGGAGCAAACAAGTATCACAACAGGACTGGCATCCAGTAGCCTTGCGCAAAGGCCACAAGGTAAGGCAATGTAGCCACGCGAAACACACCTGGTAACATCCCAGTGTGCAGCTCATATTGTCCCCCGCATGCAAGAGGAGTGGTTCCGAAATCTCTCAGTTCCTGGGGTAAGCCTCCTTCCATTTGAAGAGAATGTCCACGTCTGTACCACAGTGTTCCTCTTCCCATCTCATTCAAGAGCCGAACAAACTGAAGCTCTCTTATGTCAGCTTTGCGGGGCACTGCAAACCAAGCCAAACGCAACAGACCGAGCTACAGTGGCTGTTCTACATGGGCTTGCATTTTCGTCCAAGTGGCGGTTTTGGCTTCCATGCTAGCTGGACCATGACTGTACACATCGACTTTCCCTAAGCCCAAACGCCCGGGAAAAAAATGTTCTCCCGCACATTGACATCTGCGAATTTTCCACGCAGCTCTGGCAGATCCCGATGGCTTGGGAGCCCGGCGCTTCTTGCCAGCCTGGCCACAAACCCAGAGATAGCAACGTAACTACGTCGTCGAGGGATACACGTCGCCTCGGAAGTAGCCGGAACTCGAAGCCACTACATCCGAAGATCAAGAGAGAGAATACACCACGGCAATCATTCCAACGGGTGTTTCATTTCAAGGAATCATCTAAACATTGTTTTTTAAAGAACAAAAAGAGGAAAAGAGGCTGAAATCCCGACATCAGATTCATCCAGTATTGCACACCAGTTTGACAACTGAGTCTGCTGCGCCTCGAAGCTTTCGTGAAACATCGCCTTCAGCTTGGCTTGGCTGCTCCTTGCTCGGTCTTTTACTCGGAGACGGCTAAAATGGCGCAAACAGCTTAAGATCACGTTCCGCTGGCGTGATCTCAACATATCCATGACGAGTGAGGCCGAAAAGGCATGGCACAGTGCTCATCCTGCATGCCTCAATTGCAGACCCTGTAACTCATACAGCTGTTCTCACGTCAAACAAAAAACAAAAGTCTTGAAGCCAGAAGCTGCTGCGAAAACAAGCCGCTGGATACCCAAGACACAAATTGAAACCTAACATCGGGGCACAAACTGTTTGTGGATTTTTCGGGGGCCAAACACCCGGGCAAATTGACTATGCAGCCAAGGCTCGCTTCTGCCTTGTGCAGGTGGCGCAAATCTTCGGTCAAGAGATCTGCGGCGACCGAGGCTGGCACAAAGCATCTGCAAATCTTACTATAAAACCAAAAGCTGAATTGAGGGATCCCCAACTCGGTTGCTTTCTGCTCCCCTGCTAAACAAAAAAATGGTTTAATGGAAAACCCATTGGTTGGCAAGAAGTTAAAGTCCTAACATCCAAGCAACATGCACCAAAGCCAAGTCAAGGACCTTTACCATGCTGAGCTCGTTTCATCCCCAGGTGAGCGCGCCATAAAGTACGCAACAAAAATATGATCCGTGCTTGCGCTGCGATGCTCATAATACTTCCGCCCCGCGATCCCCTGCCACCAGCGTAAAAGCGCCCGCCTATGATCTGGTCCTCGTCTGCGGACTTCGGCTGGCTGAGGAGGTCATCCTCTTGGGCAAGGGCGAAACAACCAGGAACACGGGGCTATCACCAGTCGGGCATAAAATCGTTTTGCCCAAACAAGACCGGGGTTCAGACATTCAAACAATGGGGACTCATACAACCACCATTCTTTACCCAAGGATTGTCATCTAAATTGGGTCAACCATTCTTGTTTAATGGGGGTTCAAGCTAGGGTAAGAGCATGTCTTGCATTTCATGTCCTCCGACAACTCACGAACATCCGCAAAGGAATCCAATATCAACGTGTTGCTCCTCTCCCGTGCTGGGCAGTGAATTGCTAGACACTCAATTCACTATGTTGCTTTATGTGTACCAAGTAACTCAAAAAAAGAAAACGTAGCACGTCAAAAAGCCATACGCATCCCGTACAAGCCTCAGGAGCTTGCACCAAACTCGCCCCAAACCCAGGAAAGGGGGAGACAACACGGGAGAGTGTCTGTTGAAGAGTACTCTTGGTTGATTGGGTTGAAAGGGACTCGTTTCTGAACTGGGCCGTCCTCAGACCCCGCGCTAAAAGTTCAACTTTTAGTGGGTGAAATGGAAATCTCCAGTAAACACTCAGGCTAACAATCTAAGGGGATAGCTGGGCCACCAAGTGAAGATACCCCTCATACCCATGCTGTGAAGGGATAAATCCTCTTAGGCACCACCCCAGAAACTCTGGAATGATTTGTTGGTTTCAAACATGGTGCCATTTCGTGGTCCAAACGGATTTCATCCATTCACAGTACCACCAAACGTTGCCTAAACAAGGAGCGGCAAACCCCTCGACGCCTCGGACTCGACCTGGCGTCATGGCGTGCTTCCCGTTTCAGGGGACAGCAATGCCTGGCATACCTTCCAGTCGGGGCTGTCTTTCATTAGGGCTCCAAAATGGGAGGTTTCCTCTTGTTGTTCCTTTTGAAAAACCATCCAAAAAGGATACCCTCACAAAAACCACACACCTATTTGTATAGCTGTAGCTGTCAGCAGAAAAAAATGGACATATACGAGTCTGGACCGTCGTGAACGGTTCCCTCTCCACCCAAGGGGGGAAAACAAACCAGCTCAAGCGAATAGAAGATGAGTGTTTTTCTCTCTTGAACAACCTGTTCTTCAAAAGGGATCCCAAGTTTGGGAAGGACAGCATTTGGGTGTTTTGTATTGGCATTCCTCTTTTGTGGTTTTAAATGGAAACCGAAAAAACGACCACCATTTTCGGGATCTCCTAAGAAAAAAAACTCACTCATGTCAATCCTTTTTCAGTTGTTCGATACGCATTGGCATGCAGTCTGCATTCAATTTGTGGACCTCTGAAAGAACTGGCAAACTGGTCTTTCTTGCAAGAAGGGTCCCTAGGTTTGACACACGTGGGAGTCTTTGTTGAGGGTACCCCCATAAGAACAAAACCTAATGAGGTTCCTGGAGAGCACGAAGCTCTTCGGAGCTCAAGCTCCTGAGTGCTGCAAGGGAAGCATGTGGCAGGTGGAACATCGCAGGTGTGGTTCAAAAAACCGATTCCGATGGATGTGTTTGTCTGAGATTTCATGAGAATCTACCTCCAGGTTTGTCAAGTACACAAACCAGTGGATAGGGTTGTTTCTGAGATGCAATGGAAATCCACCCTCCACACTCCCCCCTCCGCGGCCTCCAGCTCGGAGCTGTTCACTGACCTTTCTAACCGCTCCAATGGCTTTCGCTTCCGTGGACAGAGGCATCTTCTGGCATCCGAATATCCCAAACTTTGGCCGTAACCCATTGCGGCCGTAACCGATTCTGCATATCAAGTTTTGTAAAGGCAGCCCATGCGCAACCCTGGCAATTCAGTGGCTCAACCTCAAACGCTAAAATTTATTTAACTCGTCTTCAAAGGGATGTCTCAGCTTAGCTGAGTTCCACGCCATGTGCATCCCTCACTCACAAACCGTTCTTCGTTTCCACATTGAGGCAATGACCTCCAAGCGCCCGCCCACAAGGCCAACCTCTTTCAACATCTTCAAGTCACTGTTAGCAACCAGCTGTTTGGTTTCCATGTCCTATTTGCAGTAGACCAGGGTCTGGTCGTTTTCAAATGTTGCCCACCCTTGCTTGTGCGCAGCCAAAGGGCGGGTCCACTGCCAGCGGGCTATCTGCATTTCCTTGGCGTCCCCCGCCCGATTCAGATTGGTTCTCCCATGAAAATACAATGTACTCACAGGCAGCAACATCCCTAGCATGATGGAACTTTTCAGGAAGCCTCACCGAGACCTAAAACAACGTCTTTCAACTGACAACATAAACAATCTCAACCAATAAGGAAATATTGCCAGGTCAGGCAACGTTGGCATTCTGCATGCTGCAACAATGTGCAAAATGCACTTGTTACAACATGCACGAAACCACCTATCCGAACAGAAATGCGCCCATTGCCGCCAACTTGATTGGACCTTCTCCATGCCAATCCATTTAGCCTTGGCACCAGCAAGGCTGCAAGGATCCATTGAAGGACACTGACACAACTAATTTGTTTGAAGCAGAGCCTTGGTTTACATATGCCTCAAGCCATGCCTCCTCACTGCCAATGTGCACCCCGCCAGCTGCGAACTCTCCAGTTCGCGCACCCCAAGCATGCGCCAAGCTTCGATGCCGACTCCTGAGAGACTTCTTGACCTGGCGTGGTCAAACCTACAACGCCAAAACAACATGCGTGTGTGCCGGGTCCCGGCAAATCAAGTTCCAGCATCGACTTTGGATGATCCAGTAGTCAAAGGCGAATCCCTAACTATTGTAAGTGGGAAGCAACAACTTGCTGGTCACGTGAAGCTGATATTTGGAGCGCAACCTCCCACCCTTCTCCGGGTGATGTTCGAAGGCTTCACGATGAAGCGAACACATTGGGATTGGGCGGAGACAGGGGATCTCTTGTTCGGTGCTGCTGGGGAAATCACACGGACACTGCCAACAAGCAGGATGCGAGGTCAATATCAAAACCATGATACGCATATCTGTATATATAATATTATAGGGTAACGACATATGGTAGGTATGTGCATATATGTGCAAGGGGCAAGGCCAAAAGAAAGCCACGCTGATGGAATATCACCAGGGCCAACCGCCCTGTCGCGGCCCGCGCCTTGTGTTTGACATGCTGCTCGGACCTGGACACAAAGGACCGAAAGCGAAACGCCTCAAGCCCAAGCAATGAACAAACAACATGAAGCTCTCCACACAAATGATCCAGCGCACCAAAAGGCGACAACGCATTGACATGACTCATGGATTGAATATGTCCAAGTGCAAAATGCTCGCACCAGATTCAATGCACATCAATTGGTCACTGCGAAGCGTGGGGCTACCAACAACACTGTGAACTCTTGATGGCAAGTGCCATCATTGAACAGGAAAAGCCATAGGATCCAGTCACTTCATGTAAGCTTCTAGGAATACGACCAGTTCTCACAGTGTGTCGAGGTCCACGTCCACTACAGCCAAACCCAAGAACCCCAAGTCGGCTCGCTTTGCAGCCAAGTAGCACCTCCAGGAAGGAGACTCAGGGGGCAGAAGGGGAATGAAAGTGTGAGAAGCATCGTCTGCCGAACCCGAAGCTGACGCCTAGGCCCTCCAGATTTGAGAGGTTAGAAGAAGTTGTTACCCCATTTTTTCTGTAGTCTATTTTAATAGGGGAACCCTCCCCAAAAAAAAGAGAAAAGATGATAAAACGGCACTATGGGGGGACCTAGTAGCATACTCGAAACAAAGTTTGATGGGGAAGATCCGGACTTTGAAGGCGTTTGAGGAGAACATTCCGCATAAGTTGGAGCAGTCAGGAATGAACCCTGACCAGTTTGACGAGATCCTCAACTGGGGTTTCTAGCAGTTGAAAAGCAAAGTCGAGCGAGATCGTTGGAACCACCAGGCAGCTGAGATCTTGTAAGCTGCCCAAACGGTTGACGAGCATGCGAGCATGGCTGTTCTTTGAGGGTATCACTCTGGTCGCAAGGACTCATCCACACACTCTAGCTGGCTGAGTCTTGTTTTGAGGGTACCCTTTTTGGGGTTGGTGTAACAGGGAAACCAACAGGAAAACCCAGTGATCTCTTGGGGTCACACCCACCTGCCTGGCCTGCAATTCTGAGATGACACATCATGTTGCCGGGTGTTGCCAGTCTTGCGACTTGAAACCGATGCAACGTATGCCCCACAAAAGGGAAAAACCACAGGGCCTGCTGTGTTGCACATGCCCATCACCTTCTGCCTGATCTGTGCACGCAGGAACCAACAAGTGACCATAAAATGTCTGCTATGTTGTGGACAGTCAGTAGAAAACTGCATCGTGCAGCGGCCTCTGCCTCCATGAGGTTTCTCCAAAGGGCGTGTGTTGTTTCAAGGTAGCCTTTTCGGGGTCGTCTTTCCGAGCCAACGACTCATGGGGTCCCCTAAATCCTTATTTGTTTAGTCTCTCGAAGCGAACCGCAACATATCCTAGGTCTCCCTGTAACTATGTGTGCTCAAATCAAAGAGCTAAGGCAATGCAGGGTCTGGTTTTTGGCTTCTTTTACCATGGTGCCACCTTGTCCACCAAGTGCTTTGCGCAGCCATATAATATACCCCCAGAAGGGGCACAATGAATCCGACACTCCCCCTGCCGGAGGTTTGCGGCGCCGCGCCTGACTCAGCCTGACAGCTTCGCCGTCAAAAGGAGGGGGCCATCTCTTTTGTAACAAGGGGGTTGCATTGCAACCTGCGTCTTGAACCAATATAAGCAACCTCACACTTGTTTTAAAGAACAGGGCACTTGAAACACTGCTGAGCACTGCTGGTTCAAGTGCAAAATAGCAAGCATGTGCTGCCGTAATGGACGGACGCCCATCGGCTCTCCTGTTTCTTCTTCACTGGCTTGTTTGGTTCGACCAAGCAGTCCAAGTGAGCTGGTGGACATAAAAAGCCTAGGCTACAGCAGTTTCTGCAGGCACAATGTCACTGGTTGCTCCTCAAAACCTCAGCCTGCACACATCTGCTCACAGCCACACAAGCTGAGGGGGCACACATTGGCCGGCTTCTGATGGAAAGGCCCTATTCCGACCAACTGACATACTACAACATAGAACGTGCATGCCGGCTTCAAGGCAATCTGGCAATCGCTGTGTTGAAGCTCCTTCCGACATCAATAAGCATTGGCTGGATTAATGCTCGCGACACGTGCCTCCTTGGCCGCCTTGGACATGTCCTGAGCACCAAACGACCGGTGGCTTATGAACTGTTGACTTGAACTGATGCGTTGCAAAGGGTCTTGGAGTCTGGAAATTCAGAATAGAACAACAACACACAGCGCGTTTCCCAAAAACTGAATTCCACCGCATTGAATCCCCCGTGCGATGCCTTCAACAAATCCAACAAAAAAAGTCCAAAACCACTCTTAACTGTGTAGCATGCATCTGTTTCCCGCCTCTGCCTCCGGGTCTGTGGCGGAGAGGGTCTGCTTCACAAATTTATCCGCCCTTGAGAGCTGCTGGTCCTGTGAGCGCTTCAGTCTCTTCGGTGGGAAATCATGCATTGAGGAATCGTACATTGTCACTGTGTGGCAAACCAGCCACTTTTAGGCCCGACGACATGGCCATGGGTCAAAAGCCAAATCGGTTAGCCCCCAGTGAACATCCGATTCAATTCCAACCACCAAAACAGGTTCTAAAATGGGCGGTGAATTCACCCAAGTCAACATAGGCGTCCTTTTAGGTGAAATAGCTGGATATCCCTGGTAGATGAGAAAAAACCACTGGGGGTTTACCCAGGAATCGCCCCACCTATTTTTCTACCCAAAGCAACCAAAAAGGACACCTATGGGTCCAATGCTTAAGGGGTACCCTTGAAGAACAAAAAAAAATGGGGTCCAGAGGTCCAAGGGGTCCAGAGGTGAAGGCCCGCTTCGGGTGCCGCGTCATCGCGTCATCGCGTCATCGCGACTCGGGACGTCGGGGCTCGCTCCAGCGCTTGCAGCTCGCTGCGGCGGAAGGAGACGAGCTTCTCCGCGGCGCCCACCTCCCATTCGAGGCGGTTTTTGGGCGTTTTGGAGAAGTGCACAGGACACGTACCCCCAAAAAAACCCTACGAAATCCCTGTCAAAAAACCCACCTTCCAGGAGGGGGGGTGGAAAAGATGCCCAAAAACATCGCGGGGACCCAGCTTGATGCGTGGTTTGGATGGTGGCCTGGTCAAGGGCTCAAATCCTCAAAGCACCAACTGAGGGTGACGTGTGTCAAGCAGGGGCTGAAAAAAAAGGGGGGGGGGGGGGGGGGCTGGGTGCTGAATAAACGAGTGTAAAATACAGTTTTCTTTGGCAGAAAGAAACACAGCTAGCACGCAGTGTGGATCCTTGTGCTCTCAGGTGTCACTACCCGCGAACCACAAACCCTAGGGGGCAAATGGAGTACACAACCATACAAGCAGAGCGTAGGGGTCGTTTTGGGATACCCTATCTGCTATCTGCCCCTAGGGGACGGCTCGACAGTTCCTTTCTGCTTGTGTTTGATGGTTGGAACACTTTCTAAAGGGCAAAGGACATACAAATCCACCAACATGTACAGTATATCCTGTTCACCAAAGGGTCGCACACTTGAAATCATGTCAGACAATTGTAGTGGGTATGAATGTATACCTTCTCATACCGTCACCGACCGTCACCACCATTGGCTTGTTCAAACACAAACCGAACAAACAAGGCACACACGCAAAGCATACGTATACCGCTATAAAGGGAACATGATGTACACACGAGCACAAAGGGGAGCCTATTTGGGTAGTCAGAGTCATGGCACGTCCCAACTGAGGTGCTCAGTTGTTCAGTGACCCTGGAAAAAAAAGGGAACCCTTTTTTGGGAAGACCAGTTTTAGTGGGGCAGCCACCAAACAAAAAGGGGGAAAAAGGAGGCCACTGAACAACTGAGGGTGCGATTGGTATCATGTGAGATCAGCCGCCGCCTGCTTCGAGAGCTCTGCACTGCGCTGGCGCGCCGTGATGATTTCCTTGGCCAGGTGCGCGTTGCTCCGCACCAGGGCCTCTCGGATCGAGTCCCGAGTCCGAATCGAGTCCCGGCTGATCCGGCTGATCCAGCTGGGGTTTTTGGCTCACCCGAAGGCGGGTAAAACTTGGCGCAGAAACCCAGCCCTCGTTTTTTTGGTTGCGGAAGGTAGAGGTCAACCAAATAGGCTGGGGAAACCTCTTTTTTTTGGGAAAGTGGAGCTGAACAAACAGCCCTGGGTTGAACGCCTCAACTCCTTGCCGGAAATTTAAACATGAAGAGAAAAAACCAAGCGTTGGCAACAGCCACCCAAGCAGGGGGACAATATGGGGACAATGGCCTTGGGAACCAGTTCCGCAACACCTAAACATACTTCAAGCAGAATCATGAATCACAATGATCATCACATGGCTGTGGGTCAAAAATAGGGTAACCCCAAAATGGCTTGCCCTGGTAAGTGGAAACATGGACCAAAATCTGCGGTCCCCTGTTGGTTTAATTTTGACCCACACCCACATGTTCACAACACCGACAGGCGAATGGGCTAGCTTGGATGCACTTTCTCTCCGCGCCCAAGCTGGGCGCGCCCAAAACAAAAATCCGAATCACAGTGTTGATGAGCACTCCGTGTCCAGGGTTCTTTATCGTTTTCTGCAAACATGGTCCCACCAAGAGGAGACTCCTCTACCATTGGCCCAGAAATGTGAGTTTCTCATCCAGCCCACAAAAGGGGGCAATATGAGAAGCCCGGTATCGTATTCCTTGACAGCCCCTGCCTGGTTCCCCTTCTCCTGCTCACGCAGCTTGGCGTCGTAGACCGCCTGCACACCCGGGACCCGGCTTGCACTCCATACTCAAATTGAGATGTTGGTGAAACTCACTTCCTCAGTAGACTGGCAAAAACAAGGCCAAACTTTTTGTGTACCACTAAAACGGGCTTCCCAAAAAGTGTAAAGTTCAGGAACCTGGGAAGTGAGGAAATGAGCCAACTTGACAAAGGACAATACAAGCCTCGCTACAAAAACAAAAATGGTGGATGGGGGTTGGCGCTGCGTTTACCGATCCGATGTTCAACAACAAGGTGAATGGCTTCATTGACCAGTCCTCATCCAAAACTGGTTGCTTTCCTCTAACTAATGCCAGGTATCATAGTTCATGCTGCCCGAAACCTACTGCCCAAAACCTTCTGGTCGTGGACTCCATCCTGCGAGAGCTGGGAGTTGCGATGCAACGCCACCTACCAGCTAAACCCAATCAGCCACATACTGCAGGCCATAGGCAGCATAGCGCACTCTTGCAGTTCCCACCAGCCCAAGTTGTACTCAGTTGCCCCTTAAGGACCTGGAAATAAAAGGTGATCACCTTTTGGGACCTTGAGTACATATGGACCAAAAAGAGGGAAACCAAAAGGTCAAAAGGTCGATTTGCTTTGGGCAAGTGAGTGTACAAAAGGCTGCCACAACGCTTGCCACCACAAACAGCGCGTCATCATGTGATTTCGGCAGGGAGCCAAGTCCTGCTAAGGGCATGGGCCTTCTGCTTCTCAATCCGCTGGAGGCTTGCGCGTTCCACCTGCGCCGACGAGCACCCTGCTGTACCACAGATCCAAAACTGGGTAGTTCATTGATCGTCAATATCAATTCAGCTCAAGAACTTGTGGCTCTTTCTGTTTGTTCATCGGGTCGCTTTCCTTTTTGCCCTTTATGCTGCTTGTCTGGGAACTGCGCAAAAAACTACAACCGTTGTCTGACCACATCAGACCCAAACATGATTTCCCCCGGGCAGCCAAGAAAGAATGCGCACGACAACATAAATCTTGACAGCTCACGTCGACCATCCAAGCTGTGTGTTTCGGGGTAAGGCATCGGAGAGGTTTAAACAACTCCTGTGACTGACGGTCGAAAGCCGTCCAAAGGCATGCTTCAGGCATCGCCATCCGTTCGCTTGGCTTCTGCTTGGGCCACCCAAAAAATGGGGACCGAGCAAGGACCGACCGCGCACCTGAACGCGGACTTGTAGGCGGGGCCGCTTATGTCAGTCATATCTGGTGCTTCAATCTGATGTGACGAAGCAAAGCTGCCAAGTGCTCAACAAGCTTCGGCTGAAGTTACACTTGTTGGCCTGTTGGCTCTTGTCAACCGCTGGCCCTTCCCAGACTCGTTTCGCAGGTATTTACAATGCCTCTGGTTGTGCGGATCCACCTGGTTCTGCCTGCGCTTGATTCAGAGTGCAAAGCTTGCTATAGCTTAAATACCGCCGCAAGACGTCTGGAATGTGCACAAGACCCTGGGCTTGCAAATTCCAAGTCGTGATATCCGCTATGGCGGGGGGCTTCCCAGGCTCAAACACAAGGCAACATCGAGACTCGTGCCTTCGACAAGTGCTCAGCAAAGCTGCTCGCCTCAGGCAACGATCAAACAAAAGGCATCTGCACTTAACGCAGCAAATAAGCTGCCCAGTTACAGGTCCTCCCAGCAAGTCCACGCGGGGTGAGTCGCGGACGAAAAGGCATGGATGCACTTAGGCCGACAATTGGACAACCGCTCGGCAAAAAGTGAAGCGGCGCATACTGAAACAAGCGTGTGAGCAGCTTCGGATTGACAGATCAACACAACAAACGCTCACCTGCTTGCAGCTCCGCGGTGCCAGCCGAATGACTCCGCGGTGCCCAGCCTGCGAGTTCAGGTTCTGCTTCACATCCTGGAAGTCCGCCAGCAAGCGCTCCTTGTGACGCAAAGCGCCCAGCTTCAACTGAACTGACTAAACGGGACATTTATGCTGAGATCACGGAACCCTGATTCCCCAAACACGTCACCTGCACCCAAAACAGTTCTGAAAAGAGGATCCCATTTTTTCCCATTGCTGCATTTGACTTGAACCTCTTTGTGCTGGGAGCCTTGCAACATTGGGCAGCTGTGGCATGCCATCAGCGCCAGCATTGAAGACCTGCCAGCAGAATGCTGCCCCGAGACGAGCAAACCAGCTGAAGTCAGGAGATCGTCTGTGACAGAGTAGTTGTTGCAAACACATAGGCGTAAACGGCGTAGGAAATACAAATGCGCAACTGTGTACACCATCACTTATTCGCGTGCGTGTGTGTGTGTGTGAACCACGGGCTGTGCTGCTCAAGAGATAACTTGGAACCAGTGTAGTGAGAAAAATTAATTGACATTCCAGGGAGTGACTACTCACGCATAGCACATGTGAGTCCAAGCGGCCGCGTAGCGAACCAGCTGGCCTGGATTCAAGCATGTGTTCCAAATGATTCTGGCACACGACAACCTGAAATTCACCACACTCGATAAAAGGGACCTCACACTGGCACTTGCAGATTTGTAAAGCCGGGCCAGTGGTTGGACATATTCTTGATGCACGCCCTGCATCGGCACATGTGTGCAACTAAATTGCCGCAAGGTCAGTTGGAATTCATCTCACCTCAACACCTTCTCCAATGGCTTTCGCTGATCTCGAACATCCTTCCACCACTGCTGAGTTGACAGCAGGCAACTGTGCCATCCACGCGTGCTTGAAGTGTGGCATAAAGAGTTTGTTTGGGGCAAATTTCGAGAGTCGTTCCTCCAGCTGAGGGCCGACTCCAACGGTTTGCTTCCTCCAATCACTTTGGTACTCACCAGGCTGTGGCTCAAACAAATGTACCAAAATGGCACCTGGCAAATTAAACCAAAAAACACCTAACACCTGCGCAACCCTGGCCCTGTGATTTGGAGCCACGCCAGACTCTTTGCGGCCCTTTGCCCGCCCCATTTTGCCCGCCTGTGGGACTGCTGGCAACCTCGGGGCCTGAGGTTGGACGTACGAATCCCCGGTTGATGCTGCAAATATGACTTGGCCCCACTCTTGGCATCAGCGGAGAAAAAAAACAACAAGCAAGTGCTGGTCAATTGCTGGCACTTCACTCGGGACGCCAATTACCGGCCATTAGGGGGAACTGGATCGTGGCGATACTCGGCCACATGGAGCTACACGTGTCCCGTGTGAATTGATCCACACTCGGTCCAAATCCAGATCTTCAAAGCTTCGTTTGCGACGCGACTCGGAGTGTGCGGCACATTTCGCGACGGCAGCCATCCATCCAAAGCGAAAAACGAAAGCCAGGCCTCCGCGTTGGCCTTGCCGTGCACCGCATGCGATGAAACAGGTGAACATTGCTCTTTGGTTCTATTTCTCCCCAACCCGAATTGGTGGTTTGTATTGGTGGTTTGGTGCTTAAGGGAAAATGTCCCATCAACCCCCAACAAGGAGTTCAAATCCCCGCCAAAATCCAAGACCACCAACTCGCGGCCTGAATTTCTGTAGGGAGCTCAGTGGAAAAAAATGGCGGAAAACCCGGGGGAGTGCCTTCCGAAGGCCTTCCGAAGGGGCTCCATCGACATCGGAGCTTTGTCGAAAGGATTGGGAAGCCAGGAGGGTTTCGAATTACAGGGACCCATTCAGGTTGGTGTCCTGTTGATTTACTCCAAACCATCCAAACGGGGCCCCGTTTCTGAGAAACACCCCTTTTGTAGGCAAAGCCCAGTGGGAATCACTACAACAGAAACAGCAATGTGAGCACATGTACGCTGCAAGAATGAATGGCCACCTTGAGCGAATTGCGCCGGACCACAATGTATTGTCTGCGCATGACACTAGTTGCCTCATTGAAGTTTCCTCGTGCAAGAAAAATAGCAACCCGTTGGTTTGATTGCTCTATTCTTGGGCAGGTCGGACATGAAGTGTGGTTTTCGGTCGTTGCCTTTTTTTTCGCGGGGGGAAGTCACCAAACAGAACAGGAAGCTGGCCTGCCCTCAGATCCCCCGCTAAATGTGACTAACTTTTAGTGGGTTAAATGGAAACTACCACTAAACACCTAAAGGCTAAAAAGCCAAGGGGATCGCTGGAAGCCAGGAATTCCGAGGGCGCCGAACCGTGAACTCCTCAGAGCCGCGCGCGGAGAAGCCCCGCCAGCAGTGCCAGCTTCATTGATCCTCTGTCCGCACTCTCTGGATGCACTGAGCTGCGTCTTATGTCAACAACCAGGGATGTTCATGCTTTGAAATTGTTTTAATGTTGACCCCGGATTCATAAACCCGTGTTTATTTATATGGGGGTGTTCCCCTCCAAAAGTGATAAATCCCCAAGGACGCCCCCCTTATTAAGAAACAAAGTCTGAGCTGCCTCACATCCATACGATGCCAGGGTGTACGCGCAGAGTTCTTAAAATCCTTCACATCAAAGAGCGTGGCTGGCTCGTCAAAACGAGTGCCCGCAAGCCTTTGTTTTCCTAGGAGGTCCGCGTTACCGCACAAAGTGACATGTAGAATCATTTCACATTGGGCCTCGTGTCTGTGTTTGTGTCACACAAACAAGGGAGAAGAACCCACTCACTTGATGATTTAAAATTTGTGGCAGTAGAACCTCAATCACTAGCTGAGCAGGATGGTCACCAGCAAAAGGCTGCACGTGTTTCAAGATCTGAATTGACCCCCGAAAGTAAGTTCTGGATTGGGGGCCATATACCTTGTGGTTCCAACGCTGGAAGTAGGAAATAGGATCATTGGTAAAATTGCCGAATCAATGAAATTCCTTGAGCAGGTCAAACCTTACGAACGTTTAAATCACCACCATGTCAGCTGAACCTTTGCCGGAAACCACTCACTCGCCTGATCGAAATCCTGGGGCCTTCGCAATCCGCAATCCGCTTAATCCTTGCTTTGGTTTGTAATCTTCTTAATCCGTGATCCGCGCTGCAAACTGTGGGTGAAAACCGTATGTTGGAGCATGGACAATCGGTGCAACCCATAATCCGCAATCCGCAAACCGCACATCTAACCCGCCACCGCACATCCGCAATCCGCTAATCACTGGGGATTAGGTTTTGAACAAGCTAGACTCATTGTGTTCAAAACTCATGAACATGCTACATGGATTTGGCTTCAAATTGCATGGATGGATTTTTTTTAGATTCCATTTAAGAACAGCTCTAAAAAGGATACCGAGCCTCAGCAAATCAGTCAAACCGAGCGATATGCACACCGCCCCCAGTGGAAACCCGAGCCTCGGCACCCTGCGCCAACAAGCGCGCAGGCTGAGAGCCAAAAAAGCAGCGGCGTAGCTCGTCAAACACAGCGCCAAGGAAGTGGTTCCGTCTTCTGCCTCACCGGCCGCAACGCATCTAACTAGATTGTGCTCCAGTTTCTACAACCAGACGCAGGCAATCTGCGCTCCGTAGTTTTCCGCTTGGGTCTACCAACTTTTCTTAAGCTTGCTTTCCAGTAGTTTCGGCACTTGGCTGGCTCTTTCTGGGAAAAGGGTGACAGCGTCCAAATTGGAATTTCTGGCGATCCCCAAGCTTCAGGCGACCTCTTCGAGTGGGACAGAGGCGTCGTCAGAGGCGCCGGGCCCGGAGGTGGGCTCGGTGGGCTTCAGCACCGAGTCGAACCACTTGATGGCGAAATCCTCAGTTAGCGAAGTTTCGGGGCGTCTCCTCTCGAAATCTCTCGAACTTCCTGAGATGGGCCAAACCAAGTACCCTTCCTCCCACTAACATGGCACCTGTGGGAGGGTACCTGGAAGATCAGTTTCCTCTTGGAGGGACCCCCTGTGCCATGTTAGTAGACAAGGTAACCCGTTAACTTGCTGCTTTACCGCTAAAATGGTCCAAACCCGAAAAGTTGTAAGTCCATGAACTTGGCAAGGGAGCACCGCAACGGCCAGGCAGTGCAAACTGCCAAGAGAGAGGCCGAGTTCAGCGAACCGAAGCAAAGCGACGAGAAACTCCCCGAACCTTGCAGTCAGATTGGTATCGAGGCAACCCATCCGACCGGCTGGAGGAAAAAACCCGAAACTCCCCGAAACCTCTTTGGTTTCAATGACTCGCAGTGGCGGAAAACACCCTCGTTGCGATGGATTCCCCTCTCTGCCCAAAAAGTAATTATCAATTGGCAGGGAGCCTCGCAAGCACCCAGAGTAGAGCTTAATATATTTTTTCGGGTTTGACTAATTGATCAAGATTTGGGAGCTGGACAATGTGAACAATGATTGATATCCTTTAGAAGTGCGGTGATCAGCATGAATCAAGTTTTCTCTGTGTGTCTACTTGACTTATAGCACGTCCTGCAACAGCCTCAGGGTGCCAACAGTGGCAAATTGCGGATCTGGGTCTATGGAAAGTATCATCCATCAACCACACCTGAGAACTGTGCTGAATAATGAAGGTTCGCTTAATCAAAACTTAATTCGTGTTTTAAGTCCCCTCGCCCCGATATTGAAATAGGCCAATTCTAAACCACTACTAAACCAGCAATTTCCCCCACCGACCTCTCCTCTAGTCATGTTAGGGGCACCAACAGCAGGTTGCGGTTCCATTTGAATCCTTTCCTCAGAAACACACATCCCAGAGTAAACAAACGTGACCGGACATGCACGGAAGAGAAACACACGAGAGTTGGCAGCCCAAATCTGGAACAAGGGCCCAGGTGGCAAGTTGTGGATCTGGGTCTATGGAAAGTATCATCCAACCACACCTGAGAACTATGCTGAACGCTCGCGATCAAGAATGATCCTCACCCCAACCAACAAAGGGTTTCCTAATACAAAAATGACGAAGTTCTCACGGAGGGGGATGGGGGGGTGGGGTGGTCTCCATCCTCTTGAGGCTCAAAATCCTTGCAGAGGAATATAACATGTGACATGCCGGTGAACCAATGCACAGGTTTTCAGTCTAAGCTGCAAGCTAAAACCAAATGCATGCAATGACATGCAGGGCAACAACTCGTACAGTTGATGCCGGACGGGCTCCAAATAGAAAGTGCTGAAGCTTCAAGTCTAGTTTCGTTGGACTGTCTACTGCGATTGCAATCGACTCCGCCGGTTCCTAGGTGGGCAGAGCTGGTTGTCGCCAGCTGTCGCCTACCCGAGCCTTACATCTACAACTTCAGAATTCTGAGCTCCTGGCCACTTCGGCTGTGTATTCCTGGCACACATGTCAGTTGCGCGTGCCCACGTCGACTTGAATACATGCTTGGGAGGAGCAACACCGTGCAATCCAAAGTGGCAAGGTAGCTTGGCATGTTCTTATACTTCCCATGTTCCCTATGTTCTTCTGTACCCTTAGCTGGGCCTCAAAGGTGGTCATGCGTTCGCGCATGAGATTCGTAGCTGAAAAACCCTACACGAATCAGGTGCCTGTGCTCACGAACCTCATGCCTCTAGCTTTTATGCCCCAAATACATGTACATGTGTATATATATATATAATGCATTGACGCGTCTGAAACCCTTCCAACTAAGCCGCAAAAAACACTCCAGGAGGGTGGCATCCTCAAACGTTACCTCCACATGGTTCCAAACAAACAACCACACCCGACATTTTGAGAACCCCTCCCAAACTCTAGGGGTTGATTCCCCATTCTTTTCAACCATCGTTCTTTTCAATAACCGATCGCTGTTTCCCCAGGGTTTTGGGTGGTTTTGTAGAAAGATCCGGATGCCTGGAAAGAATGGGAAATGGAAGGTACCCCTAGAGTGTTGGGAATGAGCCCGGACGGATTCCCTGGAAAACCATAAGGCTTTGTAGGGGTTGAGGCACCCCAAGTTTGAGTCCCTCAGTCCCTCACTTTGAGTTGCCTCAGTTTGCGCCCCAACGGTTCTTCGCGTCTTTTCCCCAACAAAAATGAAAATCGATCCGATCCAGCGCGGCCTGCACGAAGCTACAAGCTTCCGAGGGCAGGTGGTCCTCGGAGGGTTTGGGAATTTCAGTGGACACATATGGCGGTGGCTCAAGAAACCGGTACCCAAAATGGACTGGCAAGTGGAAACATGGGTACCAAAACCTGCGGTTTACCCCAGCTGTTTAATTTTGAGCCACATCCATATTGCCATGGTTTTTGGGACTGGTTTGGTGGTTCAGAGCTGGTTTCCCATCTACCCTCTTCAAGAACCAGAGGTTCAAGAGGTTCAAATCCCCAAACCACCCAGCATTACCTGGGCGCCAGCAAGAATCCCACAAATGGTCATGGGTCAAAATCCCTTCCCCCAGTAAACATCCCTTTTTCCCCAGTAAAATAGGTTCTAAAATGGGTGGCGAATTCACGTACCCCAAAATGGGATCCCATTGGATTTTTTTGACCCACAGCCATATTCAATCATTGTCTTGATGGTTCTCAGTAGGGAATGAGGGAAGTATCTATGTAAACCATCCCCTATGGTTTCCTCTAAGGGAATCCCTAAGTTCATTCCCAACACCCTGGTCATTCCCTACTGAGCACAAGCAAGTTGTCATGGAATGGAAAATGGACACTTTGTATTGAACACTATAGTTCTGGAGGTACCTTTTCTGTTGTTTGAAAAGATCAAGGGAATATGTCGAAAGGTTCAATGTGTATAAATAAATTGCAATATCTTTAAAGATACAGTTTTGTGGCGTCGGCTTCTTTGATAACTTTACAGAACCTCACTGCCCCCCCCCCTCCCCACCCTATAGGTCAGTGATAGGTCAGTGACCTGAATTCGCCAGAAACCTGGCCCAGGTAAAAAATGTCAAAATGTATCTGTTGTACACATGATGTCCTCTCAAGATAGCACACAGCTACTCAAGTTGATTGCCTAAATCGAACCCCGCTGGTGCAAAAACCGGAGTGGGGCCATGCTCTGCTGGTTCTTTACTAGCTAGCAAACCAGTCGTGTGTTGGGCTCGGCATGACCACACCGCGCTATCCTTCTGCTTTGACACATTCTGGTCTCCCTCGAAAGGATCTGAAATTCCCAATGGTCACCCAAGGTCCTGCAGCAAGCGTTTGTTCTTGACGTGAGTTTTGGATTCCATGATTGGCAAAAAAGGCCTCGACGGGCCTTTGAACAGCATGTCAGTTGAGAGGTCTTGATATACTCGGGTCAATCATGAAAACAAGTCACCCGGCCATCCAAACACCTCTCAAAAGTAGATATATCTAGACACATGCATATCCTCCCGGAGACACATTCACCTAGGTGACCTTTCTTGAACTGTCGCAGTTTCCATTTGCGCCGGGGTGTGTTTCCGAAGCCCGCGAATTCCGCCGATCAAGCGAGTGCAGGGCCCACAAAAGCCTCGTGATCTTGTTCGCATCCAGACCTCCGCTAAGCCGAAACGAGTTGCACCGGTGCTCCGAAGTGGGCCATGTGCGTAACGCGGCTAACCAAACTGACCAGAACTCCACGAGCTTTTCTTCAGAGCTTAGAACAAGGGTACCGAGTTTTTGGTTCCCCCTATTTTAGTAGGGGGTTCCCCCCCTAGCCAAGAAATGGTGAGAACGGGCACTGGGGGACCTAGTCAAACTACGGGAGCCCCCAAAAAGGCTTGGATTCCGTCTGCTTGCCCTTGAAATACCTGACAAGAAGGATGTGCAAGCCTCCTTGCTGAGTCCCGAGCCTTTTCCCTTGACGGCCGTCTCCACAACGGAGTAAACGTCCTGCTCCAGGCTTGTGGGAGCCGTGTCCTCAGGCTGAGATCCCAGCGGGTGCTGAGACAACTCCTCAAATACATTGTGCTGGTGCCGCAAGTTGAACATTGTGCTTGAATGGCTCTGAACAAATCTGTCCAACTGCATGTACGCAAGCATCATTCGGCTGTCCTGTTCGCATTTGTATTTGAAATACACTGAGGAATCGCGATACCCCAGCTTTCAGCTTAGAGGGCATCCGATTCTGTAACTCCTGAAGACCAAACAAAAACACCTTTTCCAATGGCGGATTATGTTCAATTCAGCACAACCACATGCGATTGGCTCAACACGGCCAGGAATCAATACATACAATAAATAACGGCTGCCGGAGCAACGTGAGTGCGCATTTACAAGGTGGCCTATCTCCTCCTGAAAAGGGCGCATCAATTGTCTAAACATCCTCCATAGACAATCAAATCGACTGGTCTAAAGCTTCCAGTGCAAAAACAACGGCAACTGGTGGGTGGTCCAAGAATATGGACCCCTTTTTGGACCCCTTTCTGTACCTCTTTTAAAGGCGGCCCCACGCAATCCATGGCCCAAAAAGGGTGCCAAGTTTTGACAACCCTCCAGCTCACAAGTCCCTTCCCGAACGAAGAGGTCGTGCCGTGCAGCCAAAGTGCTGCCACGTACTGACCTTGACGAGGCATCCACATTGTTCAGCTTCCCAATTGGTGGTTTGAAGCCCGGTGGTTAGGCTTGGTGGTCTTCAAATCCTTTAACCAATGACAACCGCCAATTTAGGGGTACCTGAACTATGCAATTACCATGCTCCAAAGGCAAGAAACACAAAACAAGTGCCCAGTTTGGAGTGGGAAGCACGCTGAAGGGCCTGGTCTTTAATGCGCGGACTCCAAATGTTCAGTCCGCCTTTGACAATGGCAAGTACTCTTCACAAGCTGTGGCAAAAACAAACATGGTTGCCTGCTTTTGACCCATCCAACGATCTGCCTAGGTGCACCCCATGGGCGAGTTGTTTGTGCTCCTAAGGGCCTGTGCCAGACTTGAGAGGTGATGATTTCAGTGTCGGCTACAGGGCAGCATGAGTTGCCGGTGTGCAATGTTGACGAAAAACAAACCCACATCTTGACCACAATGCTGGGGTTGCCAAAAATCGAATCCCTTGTAAAACCCTGGCGTCATTTTGTGCCACCTGAATCAGCCCCCAAAAGGATTACTATATTTTCACAACCTGGCCGTATCTTCCCCGTGTGAACCTGTGGGACAAACTGTTGCAATGGACGTGCTCCAATCTCGGTTGCTTTCTGCTCCCCTGCTAAAAGTTGAACTTCTGGTGGTTTAATGGAAATTCCCATTAGCTGGCAAAAAGTTAAAGTCCTAACATCCAAGCAAATTGCAACAGAGCAATGCTTCCGTCCTCTTTTGCTAAGGGCTGTTCCATCCGTGCCAATCTCCTGCAGGATCCGTGCGATGACTCGGGCCATGCCTGCACCAACGGGCAACTGAAGGCTTCAAGCTTCAGCATTTTACTGGCGGGAGGGTTTGCTAGGTCCTCCAGTAGAGAGGTTAGAATAAGAGTACCAACTTTTTTCTGTAGTCTATTTTGGTGGGGGAACCCTCCCCCAAAAAAGGGTAAATGGGCCCTACTGAGGGGCCTAGTTGGCTTACAAGGTGCTGCAATTATCAGCACGTCACACTATGCACTGGCTGATGCCGACTGTCGACTTTGGGCTGTACGTGTTCATCACTTGACACGAGTAGCTCAAAGGCCCTCTAAAAGAGGTGCACGTGTCTTGCACTTATCCCCCCATGCCTCCCGCTCTTGTCACAATCATTCCTCCTTTGGGAGCTACCGAGGTCGCGACGCCCTGTGGGAATCACGTCCTATGGAAGACCGTGGCTCGGTTTTGGCCATTTTGTGAGGATGACCCAGGGGAAACAAACGTCAATTTGTACTAGAAATCCAAAAACTGAACTCAGAAATCCCCAAGTAAAGGACATCCATCATGGTGAGCTCGTTATACCCCAGCTGAGCTCGCTATAATGACGTGAACTCTGTAACAACTTAGCCAACAATAGCATGTTGATTTGTCGATCTCGCAGCTCCGGCCAATGCAACTTTCAGCGAACGACAATCCTTCTTGACCACTCTGACTTGGGCCTATTAAACAAACAATCCGGATGTTTGTACCAAAGGGAAACAACAATCTTTCGGTGGGTCTGACGCAGGGATCTGTGTCAGAGATCCATCGTTGTCGTCCTTGGGCTCGCAGATCCCTTCGCTGCGCAGCACGTGCCGAACCACCTTGCCATGGCCACGGCCACGCAAGCGAACCGAAACCCGACAGGGAGGAACCCCAAGCGTTTGGAGATCAGATGGGTGCGGATCAAAATTAAAGAGCTAGGGTTACGCAGTTCTGAGCCCCGGTTTCGTTTACCGAGGTGCCATGTTGGTAATTTTTTGTGAGCCACAACTAAATGTGTCGCAGAATGTTCAACTTGATGTCAATCATTGTCCGAACAATGAATAGTCTGCCCACATTCCAAAACCCTGGCTGTCATTGCTTTCAAGACTCTAAGCCGCTGCTGTAGCACCCCGGGCAATGTTGGGAGCCAGAATCAAACGAGGATGTTTGTATTCAGAACCCGGAGAATTTCAGGGCAAGCCTGAACAACCACAATTGGCCATGGGTCAAAAACCCGTACCCCCAGTGAACATCCCAATCCCCACCAAAATAGACTAAATGGGTGGTGCACCTACCCCAACATGGTACCATTGGTTTTGACCCACAACCAATTGTCGTTGCTGACGTAGTGGATTCTAGCAAGTGCGCTCCCCAAAACGCATAGCATTGGGCTGCAAATGTCGTCGCTCCTCTTTGGAGCCATAAAGGTCAAGGAGGGCCAGTCAAAATCAGAATATATACATGTTCAAGTCGTTCAAACAATGACAAAATGGGCCACTGGAGGGGACATGCGCTAGTCTCGTTTTGTGGGCCAAATGATCAAAGGTTGCTAATTAATTTGTTTCCACTGTTGGTTTGGCTGCATGGCGGGGATCGGAGGTTGAAATTACTCATTTCAAGCAAGCACACGCAAACAATCGCACGCATCTTGGATTCCAAAACTAGCTGAGACGCTGCGAATGTAAGCAAGCCCTACAGGACCGCTGAGGGTGCCCCTAAAAACGATACATTTGAATTCCGTGGTGGTCAGGGCAAGTTCCCTTCTGTCGCAACACAACTTTGCCACAAGGACGAGCGATGAGAGTGCCGCGTGCTGGGTCCGCGGCCCGTGCAAAGTTCAAAAGCTTCTTGGTTGCCGGCTCCAAATTCAACATTGCCTGGGCAATTGTGATGGCCACAAACCAAAGGGCCCTAGGCACTTTACAAATGTTGATTTCACGACTCGCAACAGCAGCAGCAAAAACGACAATAACAACCGACATCCAAAACAAATCGACAACAACCAGAACCGCCAAAGGAGCTCCTGAGTGGTCCTGAGTCGTTCTCAGGTAGGGTTCGAGAGAGTTGCAGGGTTGTGGGGTTGTTGGGGATACCATCTGGTTTGGTTTCGGGCGGGGTGTCTGCATACTTTGTGTTGGGGGCAGTTGACGTGTTTTGCATCACACATGGTTTCGTGCACTTTCCACCCTTCGCACAAAAACAAACAGCACCCACACGTGCCTCCGGCTATACATGACTTTCCGTTGACACAAAGGGAAACCATGCACATTGGCGATGATCAGGAACACCGTTGACAAAGCATCTGTGAACAAACAAAAGCCCATTTGTTGTTTCTGGTTTCGTTTTACGGAAATTTGTTTTTTAGAACGGTGACCCAATGAGGGTGAATGGAACCTTACAAACTTCAGGACCCCAGCTGAGCAGCGCCGAACCATTAATGTTTGCTTCAAACATGGGTGCAAATGGGCTGCACCGGCCTGGCAGGAAAATACTTCTGGAAATCAGGGCGTGCCCGCCACCACCACTACACCACCAACAACAACAACGTCAAGAAAAAAAGAACAAGAAAAAGAACAGAAACAGGAACAAAAACAAAACCAAACACAATAACAGCAACAGCAAGAGCAACAGCAGCAGCAGCAACAAGAACAACAGCAGCAGCAACAGCAGAAGCAGCAGCAGAAGCAGCACCAACAACAAGAAACAAAAACAAGAACAAGAACGAGAACAAGAACAACGACAATGACAACAACAACGACAATA